GAATATAATCCCTTAACAATTGAATGAATAAATGCACGGAAAGGCAACCAATCATTTGCTATGCGATGCACTAGACATGTGATCGCCATTGCGTTGGTCTTCACCGTCATCCGCATCAGTCGCCTGTGGCTGCGGTTCAGTGTCAGCGGTGTCCACATCGTCTGCTTCTCTAACTTCATCGATGCCCTCATTGTCCTCCTCCTCGTCCTGTTCGAGCAGTTTTCGGGCCAACTTCACGGCCTGGAACTCGTTGTAATGCATTTTCCTCTTCACCTCAAACTCGCGCCGCTTCTTCTTCTCCTCCTCTGTGAGGCTCTCGTAATCGCTTTCCTCGTCAGACGAACCCCTCCTCAAAACGGACGGCAACTCTGAACCTCTGGAGGCAATATTGGCCGCCAAAGTGGACGCATCCACACTATGCAAGTCTTGCGCGGCGGCCGCCTCGCCATCCGTGGTGTCGATGTAGTAGTTGTATGGCGTCTTCGGCTCCTCGATCTTCATGTGTCCGTAGTCTTTGTCGGCCGGATGTAATGTCTGCAATATATTCATTTCATCCCATTTTATGTCTTTGTCCGCCGTCTGCTCTCTGTGTCCACACAAATAAGACAAACAATGAGTGAATGCCATGAATGGCAACAATGTATGATAATTACGGCTTAGGCTGTGTTTGGCACTCGTTTTGCTGCTCAAAACTGGACGATGACTTCAATATGCCTTTCGATGGCTTCTTCTGCAGATTCTCCATAATATTGTCTTTGATTTACTGCGAGAGACACACAATGAGTGATGGCTGTGATTATGATCACCTCATTCACAGGTAAGCAATAGATGTGCCAATGAATGGATATATTGATTGAATGACTGAATCAATTGAATACTATATGGAAGTGAGTGTCCAGTGAAGCACTGATTGTGAGGCAATTCAAGTGACAATTGGGTTCACAGTCACTGTTCACATGAGAATAGTTCACTACAAGTGAAACAGATATGATTTCAGTAAACAATTCATTTGTCAATAACGTTACACTCAAATATTCCAATATATAGTCCCCCGACTATCGTCCACAGTATTACTCAATGCAGTCTTAATACACGTTATCTCATTTGAACGCCTCTTAATTGATAACACTTTCAATGAATGAGATTTTGATTAATGATATTATTTTGACGACAAAACTTACAGCCAATCAATTGACAGATCAATCAAAACAATCAAATGCAAAGGTTTTCATTACTGTTACTCATAATGACGTCAATCATTACAAGTGAACATATATTTTGTGATATCAATTGAAATGAATTTTATAAATAAATTTTATTTAATATAAAATATATTTTTGCATGTTTTAATATGATTGACAAATTGAATCATTATCATAACATATTAATCATTAAATTAAATTTAAATGTTTTCTTATTAAATATATAGACGTAATGTATGAATCAATAGTCAATTTGTTGAACCAATTGAATGGCAATGCATTGAATTTTGAATGGTTTCACATTTGCATACAGTTTACACTCGCTATTAGTCTTTATTGTATAACTGTATGTAAAACATTACAAAATATACTAATCTTATATTTAACAACAATTACAAAATATGATTAATTTAATGGCAAACATTGATTTAAGTAAAGTCTATATTTTCAAAATAAAAGCAATGATGTGTTGATTGGTATGTATTGTATGTAAACGTCATTCATATAAACAATACGTTTGAATATTTTGAGTGTTGGACACAGTTTTGAGTGCTTTTCATATGATTTGACCACAATTTACGTGCATTTAGTCGCGAGTGATGTCCGAAGACAGTGACCGCAAGACCACCACTGCTTCGACATCGTGTGAGACACAGACACTCAACACGGATGACAATCGCGAGGATTATGTGGAAGAGTTGTCTGGTTTGACGTTTCCATCACTTCTTCAGAGCCACTGTTCGTTTCCGACGGAACTCTTCTATACCTTAAGTCCCATCTCTTTATCGCAAATCACATCCGAGTCGACGCCTATTGTCAATAGAGGCCAACCTATTGGTGGTGAAGACAGATATCAACGAAACAATCTTTTCAGGACTTTTGATATTCAAGCGATTGATTTAAATGAAGAACAAGTGCTTCAGAGTCTCACAACTGTTGATAATAGCAGTGAAAGGCCGCCACTCATTGGCCGCACGAACAGCACTTCCGGATCCAGTCTTTCGACGGCTCT